AGAACTGACCAAGATGGCTGATTGCTAACAGCTCGGGATTGTGGCTCCCAGTGAAAGTGCAGAGAACGAGAGGATGCCACACTTTCAGACGAATTTTTGTCACTCTGGACCAGAAGTTTCCCAGTGGAGGAGCCCCACGGGTTGCCAGTGCAACTCTTGTGGCCGGCGCAGTGGTTTTGCCGGTGCCTGCATGCGGCAGCTCTTCGTTCAGAGTAAACGGGACTGGTTCCCCTTCTGACCGATGTTTGGAGCTCCGGGAAGGCAGAGCTGCTTATTACAGACTCAAGAAGAAAGCCAGACCAGAGATTTCTGGGCAGAAGAGCACCATCAGTCTTATTGCTGCTGTTTTGGCCAGCGCAGTGGGTTGCTCGGATTCCAGCACTGGGAATCAATAAACTGGACGTCCACTCAGAAACCTAATTAGAAAGGCAGTAATTGTAAAGATGACAGATGGATAAATTTCTAACAAAGGGAAGACACCAGCCTAAAAAGGCTGAGAATACCCAAAATCAGAACCCCTCTTCTTCTACAGGGGATTACAGTTCCTCATCAGCAACAGAACAAGCCCTGATGGAGAAGGACTGTGTTCCATTAATAGAAGTAGGCTTCAGAAGGTGGATGATAAGAAACTTCTGGGAGTTAAAAGAACTTGTTCTAACCCAATGTAAAGAAACTAAGAGATTTCAAAAAAGGTTTGACGAAATGCTAACAAGAATAGACAATATAGAGAGGAATATAAATGAACTAACGGAGTTGAAAAACACAACATGAGAACTTAGCAAAATATGCACAAGTTTGAATAGCCAAATTGATCAAGCAGAAGAAAGGATATCAGAGGTCGAAGACCAACTTAATGAAATGAGAAGATAAGAATAGAGAAAAAAGGATAAAAAGGAATGAGCAAAGTCTCCAAGAAATATGGGACTATGTGAAAAGACCTAATTTACGTTTGATAGGTGTACCTGAATGTGACGGAGAGAATGAATCCAAGCTGGAAAATACTCTTCAGGATATTATTCAGGAAAACTTTCCCAATCTAGCAAAGCAGGACAATATTCAACCCCTGGTAATACAGAGAACACCACAAAGATATTCCTCAAGAAGAGCAACCCCAAGGCACATAATCGTTAGATTCACTAGGGTTGAAACGAAGGAGTAAATACTAAGGGCAGCCAGAGAGAAAGGTCAGGTTACCCACAAAGGGAAGCCCATCAGACTCACAGCAGATCTCTCAGCAGAAACCCTACAAGCCAGAAGAGAGTGGGGGCCAATATTCAATATCCTTAAAGAACAGAACTTTCAGCCCAGAATTTCATATCCAGCCAAACTAAGCTTCACAACTGAAGGAAAAATAAAATCTTTTATGAACAAGCAAGTACTCAGATATTTTATTACCACCAGACCTGCTTTACAAGAGCTTCTGAAAGAAGCATTATACATAGAAAGGAACAACCAGTATTAGCCTTTCTAAAAATATACCAAAAAGTAAAGAGCATCAACATAAAGAAGAATTTATATCTACGAATGAATAAAATAGCCAGTTAACATCAAATGGCAGTAACCCTAAATTTAAGTCGACTAAATCCCCCAATCAAAAGATACAGCCAAAACCTAACGGTATGCTACATCCAGACCCATTTCACATCCAAAGATAGACAAAGATTCAAAACAAAGGGATGGAGAAAGACTTACCAACCAAATGGAGAGCAAAAATAAATAAATAAATGAAAAGCAGGAGTTGCAATTCTCACATCTGATAAAATAGATTTCAAAGCAACAAAGATATAGTGGTAAAAGGATCAATGCAACAATAAGAGCTAATGATCCTAACCCCCAGATACATAAGACCCATAAAGAGATTTAAAGAGATTTAGACTCAACGAGACAGAAAATTAATAAGGACATCCAGGACTTGAACTCAGATCCGGAACAAGTAAACTTAATAAATATTTATAGAGCTCTCCACTTTAAATACACAAAATATTGATCGGCCATTATTAATACCCATTTTTAGAATAAAGCAATATTCCCGTCCTCTCTCCCTCTTTTTCTTCCTTTTTTCCTCTCCTTCACTCCTTCTTTCCTTCTCTCAAAAAAACAAAAAACAAAAAACAAAAAAAACTGACCTATGTAAAACGGGCAGTTTTATCTGATAAATTCCCGCCTACTGAAAATGACTCCCAGTATTTTTGATAGGGGAATGAGTTCTCTCAGTAGGGACCTCCTATAATGTATAAAACACTATGTTTTAAACGTGAACGTTAAAAATAACACTGTATATGCCTAACTTTGTGAGTTAAATCACTCACATTCTCCACCAAGTACTCCAGCCGGGGAATTAGGGATAAAGCAGCTGAGGCTCATTTGGTTCCGCTGCTCCGACGGTGCCCAGAGTCTTCCAAGGCCTGTCCCACGGAGGAAGCAGGGCCTAGGGAACCCTCCCACCCTGGGCTGAGTCCCGCTACCTGTGTGGGTTGTCCCGGGTGTCCAGGTCTCCGCTCTTGGGTGCCAGGCAGCTCCACCTCCGCAGCATCGCCCCTGACAGCCGCCCTGTGGCAGTTCCGCATCCCGGATTCGGTGCCCAGAAGTGGTGTAGACGGGATCTATGGAGCCCAGGACCTGAGGTTCTGCTCTGCCTTGGCCCCTGGCTCCCAAAGCCAAGGAACTTCTTCAAGGTGGTGACTTCTTCTCAGATCCCCAACAACCAGCTCCTAAGCCGCGGCTTCTCCTACCCCTACCTGGCGCCAACCCCCAATCTGCGATCCCAAATCTGCTTGCTAGCCCAGAATCTGCGATCCAGTTGGGTCCACTACTGCCTTCAGCAGCAACACTTGCAGCCTCCGACCTCTCTGACCACTGGAGCCCCGCAAAGCTCTTAGACTTGCGCCTGCGCCAGTGGACGCCCAGCTCCCGGAAGCTGCTCCCAGGTGCGCGCTGGCAGGTGGGGCTGTAGCTCGCAGGCATCGCTGGGTTTCGGGTTCTCCTGGGCCTGCCCAGGCTGCCGAGGATCACAGGCGGGCATTTCATATCACAAACATGAGTTCCTAATGGGACATTATCAACGCTTACATATATCTCATATAATAAAGGAGACCTGGCTAACCCTGCGTCCACCCCACTCCTCCTCAAAGGGAGATCAGGTCTGGCATGGGCACTCCGTGGCACTGGAGTGGCTTCGCGATGGCCTGGCTTCAGCCCTGAGATTCTGGCCCCGGGGTCTGCCTGGCAGGTGTCAGGGAGCAGGAGACACATGGAAAGTCAGGGGTTGCCCCTTCCACAACCAGCCCCCACTTCTGACCATGCCGGATGCGCAGTTTGCAGGTGCAGCTCTGGTACTAGTACGGGATGGCGGAGCTTCCCTTGGGTGGCATCAGGGTTGCTGAGTGTACAGCCCATCTGGCCTGAGGGTCTGCTCCTCTTGGACACCTCTCTGGATCCTGGGCCCCTGCACTGGGGCACTCTGCATCCACACTGATGAGACTGAGCGGCTGCTGGCGGGGTTGACCACCTGACTTTGCCACCTGGGTCCCCAGCCTCAGGATTCTTGCTGCTTGAGGGCATGGTCCTGGTCTGGGGTGTACCACTTGCTGCTCCCATGCCACGTCTAGGCTGCAGGGGTGACTCAGGCGCCGGGGGTGAATGGGGGGCTGGTTACCTGATGTCCTCAGGGTCAAGTGCATTGCCTGCACACCTGGGGTCTGCTCTGCCTTGGCCTCCTCCAAGAGTACAGGGGTCACCAGGAGGCAATTTAGGAATGCTTAAATTGAAGGAAATATTCTTTCTCTCTCTTTCTAAGAAATAAGTGGCGATTTTGTTTTGTTTGGTTTTTGACACTCAGCTACAGCACAAAACAAAGGTGATGAAGAGGTGAAGGTCCACAGCCAGTTCCTCTATGGATTACTTCCAGATACAAATGCTCAACATAACTGCTTTGGTTGTCACTTTCACCTCAACACTTACATATGCCTACAGATCTGTTCAATCAAAACTGTTGGATTTAGAATTATTTAATACACAATTATTTCATAATATTTTAATACCCAAGCTACTTTTAATAGTTTACCATCTCTGCAATCCTGAATTCTTCATTTTTTTCTTTGTTTATAAAACCATTGCTATAGTAAGATCAAAATCACAAAACTCACATTTCATTGGGTTAAAAAAATTAAAATATATATAAAAGATGGATAAAATGTATTTGTTCATCATAAAAATTACGGGTTTGCAAATTTTTTATATGTTTAGCTACATTCCTATGATTCTTTAACTTTGACCCTTCAAATCTTATGTCCTCACTTTTCAAAACCAATCATGCCTTCCCAATAGTCCCACAAGTCTTATTTCAACATTAACTCAAAAATCCACAGTCAACAGTCTCATCTGTGAAAAGGCAAGTCCCTTCCACCTATGAAGCTGTAAAATCAAAAGCAAGCTAGTTACTTCCTAGATACAATGGGGATACAGGCATTGGGAAAAAACAGATGTTCCAAATGAGAGAAATAAAGGGGTAACAGGTCCCATTCAAGACAGAAATCCAATAGGGCAGTCAAATTATTATAAAGTTCCAAAATAATCTCCAATGACTCCAGGTCTCATATCCCTAACCCTAACCATAACTCTAGTCCTAACCCATAACCCCTAACTTTAAGACTAACCACAAACTCTAAGCCTAACCCTACCCTAAATTCTGACTCTAACACCAACCCTCTAATGCTAACTGCTAAACCCTAAGCTTAAACATAGCCCTACCCCTAACCCTAACCCTAATGCTAAGCCTTGCCATAGGGCTAACTCTAACCCTAACTCTAGCCCTAATCCTAAACCTAACCCCTAAGCCTAACCCTCACTAACCCTAACCTTAAACCAACCAATCCTACCCCCAACCCTAATCCTAACTTTAACCCCAACCCTATTTCTAAACCCAACAACCTGAAACCTAACCCTAAAACCCTAGTCCTTACCCTAACCACTGCCCTAAACCCTAACCCTAATTCCTACTCTAAACTGTAAACCTTAATGCTAACCCTTAATCCTAATCCCTAACCCTAACCTTATGTCAATTACCCTTAAATCTAACCTAAGCTTAACTGTCAATCATGAACTCTAATGTTACCTTTACCCATGCTAATCCTTACCTTAAGCTAAACCTACTCTAACCTGTATATAACCCCAATCCAAAATCTCACTAAAACTTTCACCCTAACCCTTACCTGTAATTCTGACCTGTCAACCTAACCCTATTAGTCAGCCTAATCTCTCCCTCTAATCTCTACTATGGAGCTCTCAACCACCAACCTGAACCTTCTCTCTTGGAGCCCTTATACCATAATCTTTAACTGGTAAACTCTTGGCCTGTAAAGCCCTATGTCCTGATTATGTAATACCCTTACACACTAACTCTGTAAATACCGCAATCTATACCCAATCCCATCCTGATCCATCCTACACAGTGTCACGCCATTTCAAGGACTGAAATCTACAGATCTATAACCTCAAAAATGCAGACTTAGTAATCCTCAACAAAATAATAGTAAATTTAAGCCAACAGCATTTGGAAAGGATCAAACACCATGAACACGATTTCTTTATCCCAGAAAATCAATGCTGGTTCCACACACTAACGCCATCCACGTAGCACACTGTATTATTAGAATGAATGGAAAACACCCCATAATTCTCTCAACCGATGCAGAAAGGGCTTCTAACAAAGTTCAACACCATATCATGATAAAAAACACAAACCTAAAAATAGGACATTTCTTAAACATGAAAAAAGCGTAAAGCCAACAGTAAACATACTCAATTGTCACCATTGAAAGGTTTATTCCTAATAGTATAACAAGGCACAGACACCTACTTTCACTTGTGTATTCAATAGTGTATTGGAAGATACAGGTAGGGCAATTATGCAAGAAAATAAAATAACTATTTGAGGATCAATTATCACCTGATCTCATACGTAGACATTCCTAAGGAATGTTTAAAAAATTATTAGAGATAGTAAACAAATTGGGTAAACATACAAGTACAATACCAATACAAAAATCCATTTTATTTTATTTATTATTATTTCTTTTTGAGATGAAGTTTTACTCTTGTCACCCATGCTGGAGTACAATGGCATGATCTTGGCTCACTGCCACCTCCATCTCCCAGTTGCAAGCAATTCTTCTGCTTCAGGCTTCTGAGTAGCTGGGATTACAGGCATGTGCCACCACACCCAGATAATTTTTGTATTTATAGTAGAGATGGGTTTTGTCATGTTGCCTAGGCTGGTCTCATACTCCTGACCTCAGGTGATCTGCCTCCCTTGGCTTCCCAAAGTGCTGGGATTACAGGTGTGAGCCACCGCACCTGGCAGAAAAATCCATTTTATGTGTATACACTAGCAATGAATAATCTGAAAAGGAAATTTAAAAATTTCATTTTAAGTAAGACCAATAATAATTAGGAATAAATATAATCAAAGGGCAAGACTTAGATGGGAAAAATTATAATACTTTGCTTAAGGAAATTAAACAAAGCCCAAATAAATGTAAAAACATGTTACGGTCATGCATTTGAAGATGGTATTTGTCAAGTTTGCCAAACTACACAAAGCAAACTATGAATTCAATGTTATTCCTACAAAAATCCCAAAGGTCTTAGGACAGAAATGGGAAAGCTAATCCCAATGTTCATACAGAATTTTAATTCACCCCAAGTAGCCTAACCAATCCAGAAAAATAACTCCAAATTTGGAGGTTCACACATCCCAATTTCAAATCTTATTACAAAGCAACAGTAATCAAAACAGCATCATAATGGCACAAGAAGCAGCAGGAAGATCAATTGAATTAGATTGGAAGTCCAGACATAAAACAGTACCTCTATGCCCAAATGATTTTACACAAGATCCATAACCATTAAACTGGGGAAAGAATGTTGTCCTCAACAAGTGATGTAAGGCAACTTGCTATCCACATGAAGGGACATGAAATTGTATCCTTACCTCATATTACATTAACAAGTTAACTTAAAATGAATCAAAGACCTAAAGATGGGAAAACTAAAAACTCTAGAAGAAAACACTGTTAAACCTTCATGATGTTGGATGTAGCAATGGTTTCTCAGATCTGACACCAAAAGCAAAACCACAAAAGGAAAACATAGGTAAGATGATTTCCTCAAAATTCAAAACTTTTATACCTCAGAAGACATGATGAAAAAAGTTGAAAGACAAAATTGTTATAAAAGGAAAAACAACTATCTTCTCCTAATACACTCTCAACACTCAACACAGAACACTTCTGTTACCAGATGCATGGGTTTTTTTCCCACACAGATCAAATCCTGGGTACCAGCTGGGTATTCTACAGTGCAATACAATTCTGACACCACCGGGAGAAAGCATCAGACCCCACAGGCTAAGTGTCCAGTCTTAGGAAAACAGGTCATGCAGCTTGTTGCTTGCAACACACGAGAGAATGCTAAACGTGAGGATGATAATAAAAAAAGTGACTTTATGCCAGAGCTTAGCTGAAGGGAATGTATAGGCTCCTGACTTAAGGGAACAGCATCCACTTTCAGGGCAGAAAGCAGGAGCTTTGCAGGGGGACTTGGCAAAATGCCATGAAGGGGATGGAGTGAAGAGGTGCAGGGTCTATGGGACTTGCTCTGATGTTTTATCCATTAGGTGGTCTTGCTAGTTCCATCATGGGCAGAGCTACATTGTAAATGGACTGTTGTATCCTGGCAATCTCCTGGCAGGGGAGAGTTCCAGAGGTGCCTGGTTTGTTTGAAGTTTTGGTCCCCGGAACTTATAAGTAAACACATAGTTTAAAAAGCTTGCAGTGTAGGAAGTGTCTAGTGGAGAGAAGGTAAAGCCTATAATTGCATTCCGAAAAAGCTAAGTAGGAAGTGTGGGAAAAGGAAAGAGGTAAAAGTAATACATTTCTTCTTTAAGAAAGTAAGGGTACTCAGTTACAAGACTGTAACCACTTCAGATGCCAATCACAAACAGTAGGTTTCCAGATTAATTTCTGTCGACTTGGTTAGAGATTGGAGGCTCCCACAACACCCTTATTTTGTTCAGCAATTTGCTACAGCACATTATAGAACCCATAAAAACAGTGTACTTACTATAGCTGACTTATTACCCAGGATATTTTAAAGGCTACAAATGAAAAGCCAGATGAAGAAATGGACAGCGTGAGGTGTGGGGAAGGGGTGCAGGCCTCCCATGTCCTCTCCAGATGTGATCCTCCCAGCATCTCCCCATGTTCAGCAACACAGATACTCTCCCAACCCTGTCTTTTATTACACAGGCAGATTGGTTACAACAGCACCTTTAGGTATTCAACTCAACCATCAGCACCTCTACCTTTCACAGAGATGGGAGGGAGGCTGAAATTTCAAATCCTCTAATGACAAGGTTGGTTTCTTTGGCAACCAGCCCCACTGAGGCTGTCCAGGTACCCCAAGCCATCAGTCACTTCATTAGCATATGAAAGACACATCACTTCTTACATTCCAAAGGCTTAGTGCTCTGCCTCAGGACACTGGGGCAGAGACCACACATAAACTCTTATTATGTTCCACTAACCCACAGAATGGAAGAAAAAATCTGCACAGTAGATACTTCATAAGTGTCTGTTATCCAGAATGTATAAATAACTTTTATTATTCAACAACAAAGACAATCCAATCTAAAAACTAACAAAGAACTTTAATACACACTTCACAAGTGTAACATCATTAGTCATAATTAAAACCATAAAGAGATACCCCTTAACTCACACTATACTAAAAAAAAAAAAAAGTGTTGACAAAGATGTACAGAAACTTGAACACTGCTGTGACAATATGAAATGGTGCAGCATATGTGTAAAATAATTTGGAGTTTCTTCAAACAGTTACAAATAGATTTACTGTATAACTCAGTGATTCCATTCCTAGGTATATACCCAAAGACCTGAAAGCAGGTGTTCAAACAAAAACTTGTATGCTCTTTAAATGTGTCAAGATCATAAATATGTAGGAAAGTCTTGGGAACAGTGACAGGAAAACTGGATCAGAATGAAAAAACACATTATACTCTCAGGTGGGGCAGGAGGTAAAAGTAAAATGAGTTTGTGAACTGAATTATCACATAGGAACCATGCTAATTTTCTGATCTAGTGGTTATGTGATGGTAACCTAGGAGAGTGTCCATGCTTTGGGTAAAATACACTGGAGTACTTTGTGGGATATAGCAAATCTGGCACAGCAATAACTGCTGGGGACTCTAAGAAAAGAAACAGGTTATATTTTGTACTGCTACTGGAAGTCTCCTAGAAGAATGACAGTATTAAAAAGTAAATTACTTTTTAAAATAACCGTATCAATACTATGCCAGAAAAGCAGAGACATCATCAAAATCCACTATAGAGGTTACGCTTCATCCAAAGCTGTGAACCCTTATAAAAGTCTCAATGTCAACAGACTCCATTTAGTAGATATTATTATATTTATTAGCATTAGAGGCTACTGTGTAGATACATTAGTGTTACGGCATGGTGTGGATATTAGTGTTAGGGCATGGTGTACATATTATATTGGTGTTGGAGAACAGTGCAGATATTGCATTAGCATTAGGGCACAGTGTGGATAGTATTACATTAGTATCGGAAGCAACAGTGTGGATACTATACTGGTGTTAGGGCATGGTATGGATATCACAGTAATGTTAGGGCACAGTGTGATTATTATATTAGAGGCCACTGTGTCTGGGACGTTGACAATGATATCAGGGTGCAGTCATAAGGATGAGATTTGGGGATTTCATTTTTCTAGATGAGTTTCTTCCTTTGCTGAGTACTCTAAAGACTCTCTTCTCTGCACTCAGGGCTGTGGAAAGGAAGCTTTTTACTCACCAATGAACAAAACTTAGTTAACACGACCCTTGTGCTACCCCGAGGAAGTTGAAGATCCTTGCTGCTTCTGGCACCTCAGAGGGAAGTTGGTCAGGGGTGGGTTTGCACACCCTCTGGTGGCACCAGAGCTCAGCACAGTCATTCTTGCTCAGTTTCTCCGCAGACATGCACCCCTACCTGGCTGTCCTAAAATACCTATAAAATTCAATATTCAGTTTATTCAGTGTAATAATTTTGGAAATTCAAAACAAAATGAAGCCCACTGCAGCCATATCCTTCCCAAAAATGGTGACAGACTTTGGAAGCCATGTAGAATGAAATGAATGTATACACAAATTAAGAAAAACAAAAACCTACTCAAAATAGTTCAGAGACTATAATTTGAAATGCAAAACTATAAAAAATCTAAAAGAAAATCTGTGTGACGTTGGCTTTGGTGTTGAGTTTTAACACACAACATCAAATGCCAATTCATGAAAATACTGACAACACAGACTTTATAAAACTAAGTATTCTACTGTGAAAAACTCTATTCAGAGAACAAAAAGGCAAGAAAGACATGAGAAGATATTTACAAAATGCATACATGATTTTAAAACTGAGCAAATATTTGAACAGATACCCAACCACAGCAAATATACCAAGAGTAGGCTGGGCATGGTGGCTGCCCCTCTCTACTAAAAATACAAAAATTACCCAGGCATGGTGGTGCATGCCTATAATTTCAGCTACCCGGGAGGCTGAGGCAAGATAATTGCTTGAACCTGGGAGGCAGAGGTTGTGGTGGGCCAAGATCATGCCATTCCTCTGCTCTACTGTATATGTAAAAATGCAGATTCACTGAACCAGACTAAATTGTATTCAGTGGAAGGCTGATCAAGGATTCAAAAGAATGCAACCTTTTGTTTTATCTACTTCTGACCTAGAAGCACCCCCACTTCCTACTTCTAGTTGTTCCACCTTACTGGACCAAATGACTCTACATCTTACACATATTGATTGGTGTCTCATGTCTCTCTAAAATGTGTAAAAGCAAGCTCTACCATGACCACCTTGGGCCCATGTTGTCAGGACCTCCTGAGGCTGTGTCATGGGCATGTCCTTAACCTTGGCAAAATAAACTTTCTAAATTGACTGAGACCTGACTCAGATATTTTGGGATCACAATCCACAGTCACCATGGCGTGACAGTTGACTACAGCATTCAGTACAGAGACGTGCTATACAGGTTTGTAGCCTGGGAGCAATAGGCTACGCCATCTAAGTTTTATAAGGACACTCTATGGTGTTCGCACACAGATGAAATCACTAAGGACAAATTTATCAGAAAGTATCCACATCGTTAGGAGATGCTTGAGTGTATTTTAAATGGTTAAAGCCTAGAAGAAAAAAAATGAAATTCAACTCCTCTTATGGTTTAATAACAAAGCTTAATAGAGTTAACATATTTTATCTCATCTAAGATGCTAACGATTAACAGACATTATTTTATGCACCATCACAAATAGGTTGCCAATTAAATCGGCTTTCTGAATAACAACAAAAATGTGAATTTACTTCTATTAATGCCAGTAAAATAAAATGAAAATGAATTATGGTTTCGACACGTTAAAGCAAAAAAGGAGGAAGCTGTTAGCCTGAGGTCTTGCCTAAGCAAACGGAAACTGAACTTGGAGGCATTTAAACTGACTTAAAAACATTAACAAACCAACCAGTCAATGACAAAAAGCCCAGCCGCCAGTTGGCTGTATGACTAGGGACGCTGAAAGAACCATCCCCACAACAGGCGGTCGCCTAGCTGGAGCCAATGAGAAAACTCACTTAGCTGCCACCACTAAGAGTTTGAAACCCCAAGCCCTATTTTCCGTTCTGGTGCTTCAGGCATGATTCATGAATCATTCTTTTGCTCAAATAAAATGTTTAAATTTATTTTGACTAAAATTCTTCTAACCCCTAAATCCTAACCCCTAACCAGTAACCCCCAACTCTATCCCTAACCCCTAGCACTAATCCTCACCCTAATCCCTAACCACATGTTAGTTTCTACATTTGCACTGATATGTCAGTGTTGATTATTAAAACTGCTGTATTGGCAAGGCTGCATGAGTAGTGCGGATTTTATAGTAATATTTTGGACTGAGGCCTTGCATTAGCATTACAGGTGTTTTCTACACGAGCACCGTGGGTGTTGTATTCGCATTTCGGATGTCATATCTGCTGTAGGAACGCTCCATTTGCGTTCTGAGGCTGCGGTGTGCACCTCGACGTGTGGCTGCCTGGCCATGAATGGGGAGAACCTAGGTGCGCAGGAGTCAGAGGGGGCTTTTGGTGTCCAGTTTTCCACACTGAGATCTTACCAGTCTCTGACCTTAAGCAGTCGGGCTGCAAACAGGAAGGATTTTACTCACCGTGGACGCGGCCCACGGTTGTCCCAAAGTGAGGCTGTTCCCCCCACCCGCCGACGCGACGCGACGCACGCCAGCGCTGTGTAGCCATCTGAAAAGGTGCGCTCGGGCGCCCCCTGCTGGAAGCCAGGCAGTGCAGGGTCCTCTTGCTCACAGTGCTGGGCCCAGGTACCCTTCTGGCGGCTAGAGCCACGGCAGGGTCCTCTCATAGTGCGGTTACTGGCATCCCCTGCTGGTGGCCCCACTGCAGGGCCCTCTTGCTCACAGTGTAGTGGCAACACGCTCCCTGCTGGCAACCAGGGCAATGCAGCATCCTCTTGCTCATGGTGTGGTAACTGTGCTACTGGGCCCTCTTACTCGCAGTGTAGTGTCAGCACGTCCCCTGCTGGCTGCAAAATTGTCTTGCTCATAGAGTCGTGGAAGCACCCCCATGCTGGTTGCCAGAGCACTGCAGGTTTCTCTTGCTCACAGTGTGGTGCCCATGTGTCCTCTGCTGGCTGCTTGGGGCACTGTAGGGCCCTCTGGTTCACAGTGTAGTCCTGGCACGCCCCCTGCTGGCAGCTGGGACACTGCAGGGCCATCTTGCGCATAGTATAGGGGTGGCATGCCCCCTGCTGGCAGCTGGGACACCACCGGGCCGTCTTGCTCCCAGTGTGATGGCTACCGTCCCCTACTGGCCTCCTTCTGCACCACTTAAAGTCAGAGCACCAGTTATTCAGCACCCACAGTTTTAGAAATTCAAACTGAAACAGAGCTATTATTGGAAAGGGCTGACGTCCCAGTTCTTGTCTAACTTGGAAGATTTTCACCAAGGGATAGTACAAAGATGGCATATAACTTCATTGAAAATAATGCAGTGTAAAGAGCTTATTGTAGAAAAAATAGGTAGGCCCCCAAGGGAGGAGCAGGCTGATCGTGCAGGAAAACAGCCCAAGAGTCCTGTGCAGGGACTTTTATTTTGGACTTCTTCACATTCCTGAGTCTAGGTCTCCACCTGTTTTCTTTGTCTGGTTTTTCTGCTCCTACCTTAGGTCCTCAACTTGCCCGTCTTTGGCTTGTGGGACCTCCTCACTGTTGGTGAAGGCACATGTGTGGTGATCAGTCCAAATCCACTGATGGCACTGGCTTCTTCCTGCCTCCCAGGAAGACCCTACAGTGGTCACGTCTGTACCTCCTGTGCCTGCCTATCTCTTTTGAATGTCCTTCTCTGCCCTAATCTGTACTTATGGTGCCAGGTTTCTCTTAAGAATGTCCCCTTTGTCCTTCTTATCAGCATGTAGCTAGCAATTTTCTGACATTTTAACTGTAGAGTGAATGATGATTAGGGCATCCTGAGAGGAGTTCTAGGTTGTTTCTTTCTGCATGGGTATCCTTATTCCTCATACCCACAACTGACAAGTGCCCAACCACTCCAGCATTAGAGATGCTACTAATATATAAATTGTTGATGGTCCCTCCAGGTGAGCCTTCCCATCATGTTCATGTCTAGCTATCTACCTACTCTAACAGAGCCCACTATCCTGTGTCTTTCCCAAAAGTAGGGAAGAAACGATTCATTGGAAACCATAGTAAATGAAATGAATGTAGATAAAACTTTGCAACTTATACAAATAATCACTCAAAATCATCCTTACACTAAAAATGCAAAACTCTACAATTTCTAGAAGAAAACATAGAATAAAAAGCTATGTGCCATTGGGTTCAGTAATGAATTTTAACAAACAACACAAAGTGTCATACACACAGAACAAAGAATTAAGTGGATTTTTTAAATATTAAAAGTGTATACTCTGGAAAAGACCTTGTTAAGAGAATAAAAAGACAAGCCACATATTGAAAGAAAATATTTGCAAAATACAGATCTGAGAAAGAATTTGTATTCAATATACAAAAAAAATTCTTAACACTAAGTAAAACAGCCCAATTAAAGATGCACCCAAATCTGAACAGACACCTCACTAAAGGATTTAAGAGAAACCAGCCCTTTCAAAAGACTCCACCACTGATCTCAAACAACTGCCTGAAGCTGCCCTGCCTTTCTTGTCTGATAAGAGGCCAGCCATGACAGAGAGGTTCTGGCCAGTATACAGAGGATGCACAGAGCACGTTTTCATGTCCTCTGCTTCACCTTTTAATGCCAGAGGGCCGAAAACTTCACCCTGGGATTATGCTAACACTGCTGTTATTTGAACAGAGGACCCGTGAAGGAGTAAGAAACTCAACTACGATTGCACGCATTTCCCCCTTCATAAATATTCATAACTCCTCCTAGAGCTTATTAAATATGTGTATTTGGCCATGCCACTCAGCATAAATTACTGTTTTCTTTACTGCTCCCTTGAACTGTCTGCTTCTGGCTCCTGGCTGGAGTCTATTCTTCCCAGCCTGTGAGAAGGACTACCCTGCAGGCTGCAACCCTTTATAGGAAATAAATCTTTCACTGGGTACAGTGGCTCATTCCTGTAATCCCAGCAATTTGGGAAGCCAAGGTGGTTGGATCACCTGAGTTCAGGCGTTTGAGACCAGCCTGGCCAACATGGTGAAACCCTGTATCTACTAAAAATACAAAAAAATTAACCAGGCATGGTGGTGGACATCTGTAATCACAGCTAATTGGGAGGCTGAGGCAGGAAAATTGCTTGAACCGAGGAGGTGGAGGTTACAGTGAGCCAAGATCACACCATTGTACCCCAGCCTGGGCAACAAGAGTGAAACACCATCTCAAAATAAATAAATAAATAAATAAATAAATAAATAAATAAATAAAAATAAAGAAATCTCTCCTTTCCAAATTTATGAACCTCATCATTCTTCAGTTGACAGTGTTACAAAGTTCAAAAGACCTTCCATACTCTCCCACAGAAGTCCTAGAAATTTTCATTTTGTTAATTATTTTAGATGACTGAGAACTTGTAATCAAATGAGTAGAAATGTTGAAATTGTGCTTTATTGGCTATGTATCTCTTAATCCAAGCAAGCAGATGTCTAAAATTAACCAAGAGAATATGTATGCCTGATTTATGGCTAAAATTTTAGGATGAAAGCTGTGAGATCTCTATTTGTGTTTTATGCCTATTAATGTGTGTTATGTATACGTGATATTTTCTCAACAACAGATAGCAAAGCAAAATTCATTTATAAAATCCTCTAAAAGTGCTCTATTCTAACTTAGCTTGGAAAAAATAAGCATTTATAAATAAATATTCCTTAAACTTCTAGCAACGTAGGAACTGATTCAAATGTTTTTCAAGTTAACACAATTTAGATAAAACACAGTTAAATAAGATCGATTTAAGATTTTTGTTGTAATAAAACTATGTCTTTAGAGCTATCACTACTGAACATAAAACAAACATACCTTTCTATTCTTCTTGAGTTCAAGTCAAATAAGCTAATGTTGTACTTACTAGATACTTAAAATCTTAAAGCTTATAGATTTGATTCTCATTAAGTTGTTATTCTTATTAAAAACATTATTTCAGTAATAATTTTTTACAGCAAATCCGCCTAATAATAGTTTCCAAATTACTTTTGGTAATTTTTAACTTTAAAGTTAAGCTAACTAAAAGATTTGCATTAAATACCTAGATCATTTATAAATAAGATATAATACTAAAACATTAATTATTAAACATAACATTCAACTTTATATACGTTTGGCCCCTAATTTTACAGAGAGAATGAAGATATTTTGGCCTGTTTATAAACATTTTTTTGTCAACTACACTGAGAAATTGTACTACGAGGAAACACATCCCTCTAGATGTTGAGAGATTGTATATTCATACATTTTCTAATCTACTATAGAATGTTAATATGTGACAATTTAAAATGGTCTACTTCCTAGTTTGCTCTGGAAAACAAATTACTAAGTATTAAAAATAGAATCAATATATATAAGTACAATTATTAGAAATAATACGATAACTAGAAACAACTGTGTGCAAAGTAGGGCAAGTTTTGCAAATAAAGTAGGTTGTATTTTTGTAAAAAAAAGCTGTACAAAATATACAAATAAAAAGAGATACCTAACCTTCCCTGAGTTATATTTATATGGGTAAAATGTTTTGTTTTCAGAAATTATATAAAATTCCTGGAAATTTGGAAATGTCCTCCTTATCCATGCTATTTGCCGGTATAGTGTTATGAGTCATAATTTCAATTATTATTTTAAATGTTGTATGCCACAGACAAAATTGAATATCCTCGTCAGGTATGGTATAATGAACTCTCATCAGGTCTTTCATCACAGCCATTTCATGCTCTTTGTCATTTAGATATTTTTTAGCCCTGATGCTTTCCTGAAAGCTCCTGCAATCAGCTACAGGTCAGAATGATTGTCTCCAATACAGGACACACTCTGAGACTACAGAAAACACTATGACAGGTACTCTGGTTATAGGCTTCTGATGATATTGCTTAAATAACTTTAAGACCATACACTTGACCCAGTGATGCTCTCCAGAAGTCTAGTTGAGGAACTGATGGGTTCATGACACTGCTAACCCAAGATTCAGCAAGATTGGAATTGATTACATGGCATCTAATGAACTGATGAAAATTTATTATAATTTTATAGTTATACAATTATAGTTTTATAGTGTCTGGATTTAAGAAATCTCTTTCTCTTAAGCGAATTATAACTCACAAGAATTTAGTAGATTACACTTTTGTAAACAGAAATGAAGCATCGATCTTTTTTCCCCACTGATTTCTCCAGAATTTTGAAATGCTTACTGAATACTCTTATTTTCATGACAATATAGTTGTTGGCAGAAGTCCAATAAGAATCTGCTCACCTTAGAACAGGATGTAATTGGAAACTTTGGTTATATTATCAAGGATTTTGCTGGAATATCATATTTAGGAATCGTGTACCTAAGATCAGTTATGACCTGCAATGTTAAGGAACTGAGGTTGACTTTTATGGAGCCTATCCTTACAAAGCATTCTGAGAAAAGCCAGCCTGATACCTAGATTACTGGGTTCACAGCCTTACAGGTTAGTAAGGAAGGTCATTTTCTTGTAGGCCCAGGTTTTGGGGATAGTTTGGGGGCTCAAGAAGAGAGGAAGTCATCCAAAGTTGTTAGGACTGCAGCTGAAATTTGACAGTATGTTCTGGGCTTGACTTTTAGCTTCAATAAGGCCTTTAAAAGTCCAATCTCAGATTCTGTATGAAAACTTCCAGCAAAGAAGCTTGAAAGCAACTATGTGGTCAGCTCTTGTTCTTTCTCTATTTACATAATCAGGCAAAATATAACAAAACTAGACTTATTTTTAAAACAAGAATAATCTGACTTTTATTATCTATAATCAAAAATGATGGTTACTACAGAGAGAAATGTTATGTTTCAATGGAAAACTATACCTTGGTCAGGCATGGTGGCACATGCCTACAATTCCAGCACTTTGGGAGGCCAGAAGTTTCAAGACCAGCCTGAACAACATGGCAAACCCTGTCTCTACTAAAAATACAAAAATTAGCTGGGCATGATTTTATGTGCCTGTAGTCCCAGCTAATCATGAGGCTGAGGAGGGAGGCTTGCTTGTATCCAGGAGATAGAGGATGAAATGAGCTGAGCATTGCACTCCAGCCTCAGTGATAGAGCCAGACCCTGTCTCAAATTTTTTTTTTTAAATAAGAAAACTATAGCCCTTGAGGGTTATCAGAGTCTAGTCTTGTTTTTTGTCTTTGGGCTATTTTTATCTCTTTGTAAACTGGATCCTGCCATCTGATGAATTTTGCCCCACATTGATACTTGTGGAAGAAGAGAAGTATTGTCTTCCCTACTAATGTATCTCTTGTCACTTAATTTGAAGGCCTCCAACCCTGGAACAAAGAGAGAAGAGGAAGGTTTTGCTCCCCAAAATGCCTAACCAAGTTTGATACATCCATGCAATGGAATACTATTTAGCCATAGAAAGGAACAAGCTATCAACTTACACGAAGACATGAGTGAATCTTTCATGCACATTGCTAAGTGGAAGAAGACAGTCTCAGGAGAATCCACACAATGTGACCTCATTTAATGAGATTCTGGAGAAGGAAAACTACACAGATGGGAAGGCTTTGGCTGCATGGGGTGGGGGTTTGAAGCATTCCATATGATACTTTAATAGTAGATACCTGCCACTGTGCATTTGTCAAAACAAGCAGAATTTTACAGCTAAATGAGTAAATCAAACTCTATTCTAATTAAATAATATTATTCAGGACATGGAGTATCCCAGCACAGAAGACATAGTGTGAAAAATAATTTATGCTACAAATTACTACGGTTTGGATGTGGTTTGTCACTGCAAAAACTCATGCTGAAATTTGACCCCCAATGTGGCAGTGTGTGAAGGTGGGGCCTAGTGAAAGGTGTTTGGATTATGGAGATCGATCCCTCATGAATAAACTAATGCCCTCCCATGGGGATGAGTTCTGTCTTCTCTCACAGGAATGGATTATTTCCTGCAAGAGTAGATAGTAAAAAAGAGTCTGGCTTCCTTGTCTTCCCTCTTGCTCTGCTCTCTGGAGCACCCCTTGCTCCCCTTCCACTTTCTATCAGGAGGTGAAAAAGACTGAGGCCCCACCAGATGCAACTGCCCAATCTCAGACATTCCAGCCACCAGCTTGGTGAGCCAAACGAAACTTTTTTACTTACAAATTACTCTGCCTCACGTATTGTGTTACGGAACACAAAATGGACTAAGACACAAATGTGGGAAAAAACTCACTGAAGGTGTAGGGAAAATGGTGCTGACATCAGTCTCTTCGAAAATGAAAAGAATCTGTAGGCTGAAGGCAAATGAACTATACTTCATTATTGGATTCCATTTTATAAAGTCCTTTCCGACAGGAGTAATTGTAAACAATTGTAAAACCACAGTATCTGTATCTGGAATAAAACAATGAGTTACATAAGTCTCAGATGGTAGGAACCAGCTCTCTCACTGTTGAAGTGGGAGGTTACAAATTAGCAAGGGGAAAAGGGTAGAAAGATTCATGTGATAGTAGAGCAGAGGTGAAGACATCAACGTAAACATGTTTAGTTTAATACAGACACATACAGTTCCACATTGAAACCTTTGCAATTGGGTGTGTATAGGCAGGTGACATACACACATATACTTCCTAGCATTGCTAATAAGGGACAAGATATAATGTGCTCATTCAGTGGCCAGATGTAAGTTTCCTACCATTCTGAAAGGAATCAGGCTCTTTGAAGAAATGTCTGATACTAGAACTGGGACAGTAAATATATGAGCCAGGATAATCTTGAAGTATCAGAAAGTAAGAAATTAAAAAAAATTGAAATATGTCAAAGAAAAATTCGAGCCAAGAAAAAGAGCTACCAATGACCAACACAGGAATAAATTGTGCAACATAATGCTGTAGTGTTTCACACTAACTAAAGCTTCAAGTAATTATCTAGGTGTCTGTGTCTGTATATGTGGGTGAATAAGCAAATGGAGTTGAACAGAAATCTCCTTTGCAAAAGAATTCCAAATAATTGATGTAGACACTCAGCCATCAAGAAGGTGGAGCTAACTCCTCACTCTGTGGGTATGGGCTTTACATATGTGTAAACTTATTTATCATATTTTTTTCTTGTGCTGTGATTGTGTCCTGGGTTCCTTCTCTAAAATGCTGTTCACCTTAGAACAGGAAAAAAAAAAAAAGGTAACCTTACAGACTCTGTTTCAATTCATGGCTAAATATTTTAAAAAGAGTGACTTTGTAAAAATATGTTCCAATGGCAAATTGATTCATTGTGACTGGATCACTTATTCCAAATACTTCTTGTCTTTATTTTGTTCCGGTGCCTACCTTTTAGCCATAGAACACCAGAATCAAATATTGGCCACTAGGAAAAATATTCAAAGAAAGAAAGAATGTGAACTGAACTTGTGACCATCATGATTCAATGTTTCACCACAACGCTTTCTAAAACAGAAGAGTTTAAAAGGATATTCAAAGTCAATTTCCTCAATGAGGCTTTGCAGAAAATGAGGAAACTAGAGAAACACAAATGTCAGGACATTGTATGGGTGATTTTAGATGTTTCTATGTTTTATGGGGAAAAAAACACTTTAACTTTTAAAGAGTCACGGAGAATTATTGGAAACCCAAACTCTGGAATGTTTCCAAATTTAGTTGAACTTCTATGTAATTCTGTCTATATAGCTAGTCATGAAGTTGATGATTTTTAAAAAATCTGTGCCTTATTTGTGTAATAAAGTACACAATGAATAATTAATACTCATAGGAAAACATGTTAGACCTTGTGAAAGGAAAATAAATCTTGGGGACCCGAAATCGCTAAGCTAAAGGGAAAAGTCAAGCTGGGAACTGCTTTGGGCAAACCTGCCTCCCATTCTATCCAAAGCCACCTGTTTGCTCACCAAGATAAATGCATATCTGATGGCCTCATTTGGAAAGGGTAATCAGCAACTCAAAAGAATGAAACCGTTCATCTTTATCTATGATCTGGAAGCCCCCTGTCTGGCCTTCTCTTCAAGTTGTCTCACCTTTTAGGACTGAACCAATGTACATCTTATACATAATGACTGATGTCCACGTATCGCTGAAATGTATAATACCAAGTTGTGCCCCTACCACCTTGGGCACATATTGTTGGGAACCCCATGTTGCATCACGGGTGCAAACTTGGTAAAATAAACTCCCTAAAAAATCTAAGTTCTAATACTTTTCAAGACATAAGAAGTTTGCAGGGTAACAGCACTGGGTTGTTAGGGATGCCTGCAGGCATCCACGACAGTCATTGGCGCTGTTCTCCAAATATTTTCACTGCATTTTTTATGAACGCATTCTGACTGTTCCATCCCACCTACTTAAATTTTTGCAAGGCCTCATGACAATTTTTTTTTTTGGCCATTGGAGGTAAGAAGAAATAATGTGACTTTTTCAGGAGAAATCTCCAAGAAACAGAGTTCTATCCAGCATGCTTTTTGTCTTTTCTATAGCAATGGGGATCTCATTGATGGTACCTCCCTCAGCCTGGATTCCTGTGTTAGGGTGAGACAGCACAGAGCTACCTCTCACCTGACCCATGATGAGATGCAAATAAATGAGGAAGAAGATTTTTGAGCCACTAAAATTTGGAAGTTGTTTGTCACCATGGTCTCATGTAGCCCTCGCTGACATGCAGGGCTGAAGAATGAGTCAGAACTGGATCTGGACATGTGACATGCACTCCTCCAGGCTAAGCAAAATTCAAGGCTTGTTGCAAAGATAACAATGAGCACAATGTGTTATTAGGGTGAGTGTGGGATAAATAAGGTATATCAAGTGAAAATAATGAGAAACTCAACTTTAAAAGACAGTGCTAATTTGGACTGTGGAGAGATTCCAATGTCCTACTTAGCATTTGAGATTGTGATGGCTGAACAAACTCATTAAGAATTCTAAATAAAGGCTTGGGGTAAATATCCGAGGGTGTCTAATATCCCAATTTTTCATCCTAGAATGGGCAGAGTCCTTAACCCCATTCTACGGAGACTTCCAAAAGAAAAAAGACCTGCATTTCTCCAACAACCCACACTGAGAGACTTTCCTGCACTTTTGACCTGTGGCTAACACTCCTCACCTTTCATTCTGTCCTCAGCGTTTTGGGGAAACACCTTTAACTCTCTATGACTTACTGGTCATTAAGTGGCCCTTATAATTCCCTCCAGAGATAGAAAAGACTAATGATGAGGGAGTCCGAGCTCAGAGCAGCAAGTGGGCATGTGTGCTCAGCAGCCATGTGGCTCATCTGCTAGGAGATTATTACATACGATGTTCTGCAACATTCCTTAACACAAGCGGACAGTCTCCTGACACAGAGGGTTTAACTGCTCACCTACTTCTTTCTCTGCCCTCTTGGGCTCCTAAAACGAAAAGAACCTGGGGTGACAAAGTGAGTCAAAGGGGTGCCAATCGTATCACAGGAAAATAAAGATCTCTAAAAAATCCCTGGCCTAAGATGACAGCCTTGGCTGGGTAAGTCTGAAAGTGCTGACAGTGGACATGGGAGAGTGAAGGTGGTCAAAATGTCCACACTGAAGAACTTCCACACAGATTGCAAGAAAAGAGAGAGGAACGGAGATGGCAACAGGAGTCTCTACAATAAAAGCAGATGTTTTGAGATCAGTTATATTTATTCTGACAGAAATTAGAGACAGAAACCAAAGTTTAGCCCGAGGCTACAATTAATTGGGCAATAAGCCCGGGGAACATGTGGCATAGACGGATTTAAACATCTCTCCCTTATAGTAATATAAAGGCTAAAATAATATCATATAAATATAAACGCTTAGGTCTACAGTAGTATTCAAAGGAGAACTCACAGACAGGTTTGGCCTTTGAACTTTAGTACTGATGGTCTAGAGAATTCATTTTGTTCCAGAGAAAGAGAGGAATTTCTTGGGTCCCTTCAGGAATGCGTCTGGCTTTGCCTCATCTTGTATGTGTGAGCTACGCATACGGCAGAAGGAAACTTGAGGATTTCACAGATTTAAGGTGTGAAAAGTCACTGGGTGCTTTAAGAAGCCTGGGATTCTCTGCTGGAAAAGTAAGTTTGTTGAGACAAAATGAGTTAGAGAAGGTTGTTATTGAAGTGAAGCAGAATTGCTTTTACTAATCTGCTTATTACCTTCACCCTCACCCCCACCCCTACCCCCACCTTAACCTCTAACCCTAAACCCTAACCCCCTGACCCTAACCCTAACCCCTAACCCTAACCCAATCCCAACCCCTAACCCTCCCCCTACTGTTATCCCTAACCCTACCCTCTAGCCCTGACCCTTGACCCCAACCCCCAAACCCCAACACCAACCCTAACCTTAACCCCTAAACCCTAACTTTAACACCTAACCCTAACCCTACCCCTAAGCTTAACCCTTTACATCTTCCCAGATTCTCCAGCGGAAGCAGGGACTGTTGGCTCCCAGCTGTGCACCACTGCATCTGGCACAGGACTCCATAGCAGTCTCCAAATAGGCACCTGAATGCCTACTGTGCCAGCCATGCAGTGGAAGCCCAGCATGTATTCTCAGCTCCAGAACCAGGGCCCAGCACCTGCATCAGGTTGATCAGGGCTGAAGTGAGCTGGGGCACCCAAGATCTTCATAAGGTCAAGGCTAACTCATGCCTCCTGTTAGAGAGCGAGACGCGGACCCAGCAGCTCTGCACTCCTACTCCTTCCCTCTGTGGCAGATTGCCAATCTTGCAAGTAAGGGGCCTTTCCCTGATGATACTCCAAGCACAAAGCACTGGACTTTCACACAGTGAGGCTGCACATATTATTCTGTTTAGATGCCCACCTAGGCCACTGGGAGAAAGGGTGGTAGAGGGACCCTCATGTTGCCCTGTGGTATATATGCTCTGGTTTATACAACTGCAAGCCATTTACGAGAAACTGAAGCTGAAACACTACTTGTTTCCAACTTTTTGTCAGCAGAAGATTTACAATTTACATTCCTAAACAAGCTAGCCACACAGCACACTGACTACTTCCCCTCTTAACTGGCTCTGAGGGCCTACACATCAGTCCTAGAATTGGAAGATTGGTGGAGAAGAACCGGGATGTTGATGGGGTACTGGATACTTGCTGGATACCAGCCTCCCCTTACCTAAGTGAGACAGCCCAGATCTCGCCTGACCAAATCAGACATTTTAACGCACGCAGCTCTCAGTAGCAGGACTTACAGATGCAAAACTCTAAAGCAAAAAATTGTCTCAACTCCTTGGTGTCTCAAGGAACTAAAACACTGCCTAGCACAGGTGCACCATCAACCTTATCACTAAATAAACCTCTGTTTATTTTATTCATCTTTGATTTTCAAAATTATGTGATAAATACATTGGACTAATGACCTTTGAGATCTCTTCACGGGGTCCTATCTGGTGGACCCCAGATCTGCCAACCCAGAGAAGGCATCTGTAAACATGTGCAGGATAAAGGCCAGACAAAACTGTCTCTCTCAGCCTCAAAGTAACCTGGCAGTCACAGAAATCGCCATGTGGGGTCTGACGTGTATGAGGAGTCAGGCCTTCGGCTTGAGGCATCCCACTGCACCCAAAAACTAAGTTCTGCCTAACAGAGAAAAATCAGCCAGCCTGCTCTTCCTAATGAAAGATTCTCCCTGGGGCTTGAAAACTTGGGGGATAACTCCTCCCTCCTCAGGCCCAGTTTCAAGGTGCAACACCACTTGTGCCAGCAGCATGGGTCAGCAAGAGAGCAGAAACCAGAAGAGGGCAGGCCGGATGATAAGTACCCGCTGAAGATCAAGGGAGAGGCCGTCTAAGTACCAGGTAGCAGTTACGCCAGACTGGAAGACTTCCCATTTACAGGAGACTAGAAACCCCTGCCTTGCCCTCACTTGGGGCTGACACCATTCTAGGTCTCAGCTCATCTACACGCAGGCATTCTTTTAAACAACGTGTTGCTCCACACTGGCTCCAGTTGTTTGTTGGTACTCTCAGGGTTTGATCCAGTAACAGAGCCTCACACCTAATATCCTAGGTGGTAATCCAAGAGCAATATCTGCTTGACACCCCTCCTCCTCCATCCTCCATATCCAAGCTATCACCAAGGATACAAGCCGGCCAGGCAAAGTAGCTCATCCCTGTAAGCCCGGTACTTTAGGAGGCCAAGGTGTGTGGATCACCTGAGGTCAGGAGATCGAGACTGATCTGGCCAACATTGGAAAACCTGTCTGTACTAGAAATTCAAAAATTAGCCAGGTGTGGTGTTAGGCGCCTGTAATCCCAGATACTCGGGAGGCTGACTCAGGAGAATTGCTTGAAGCTGGGAGGCATAGGAAGCAGTGAACTGAGATCATGCCATTCATTCCAGCCTGGGCGACAGAGCAAGACTCCATCTCAAAAAAAAAAAAAAAAGAATTAGTAGTTTCGTCACCAGAAAAGGGGTCTTGTCCCAGACCCCAACAATGGCTTTTTGGATCTCACACGAGATGGAATTTATGGGAAGTCACAGAGTCTAGTGACTTTAAGAGAGCTTATTAGCCACTACTCAGTTACAGAGCAGGGAGTCCTCAGAAAGCAAGAGGAGGAATGCACCTGTTTAAAGAAAAACAATTTTTTTTTTTTTGAGAAGGCGTTTTACTCTTGTCACAGTGGCATGATCTCGACTCACTACAATCTCTGCTTCCTGGGTTTAAGGATTCTCCTGCCTCAACCTCTCAAGTAGCTGGGATTACAGGTGTGCACCACCATGCCTGGCTAATTTTTTTGTCTTTCCTTTCCATTTTATTTTTATTTTTAAATTTTTTTAAATTTTTTAAATTCAGTCCCTGTAGAGACTTCCAAAAATTGCCAATGCCTACTATATTTCCAGTCATCATGGTAGGGTACTGGGAAAAGTTTTCAATTAGCAATAATCGTGCCTTGGATAAATGTCATTGGCTATGATACTGTCACTGTGCAAAGCTATTTTTTTGTATTTTTAGTAGAGACTGGGTTTCACCATGTTGGCCATGCTGGTGTCCAACTCCTGGCCTCAAGTGATCTGCCCTCCTTGGCCTCCGAAAGTGCTGGGATTACAGGTGTTGGCCAGTGTGCCCAGCCTTAATGTTTACTTATATAGGTTATTAAGAATAGTGTTGTCTCTTATAAAGGCCTGTGATCAGTTTGTATCAGGCTATTAGTATTGTTACTTTTCTGTTACTATTAATTTTAACAATAATTTATGAGTGTACTATTATCTTTAAAGTAAAACTTATTTTTAAATTAAGAATGCCTTTTGCTTAAAGTACTGTTATAGTTTAATAAGTTTTGGGTCATTATTTAGTTATTAACTTGTTCCTGCAACCATAAATATTTTATAACCAAAGGTGCTCAACCCCTAAATATATAATCCAACAAATTTAACGTGTCTCTGTGTGTGTGTGTGTGTGTGTGTGTGTGTGTGTGTGAGAGAGAGAGAGAGACAGAGAGAGAGCGCCTCACTCTGTCTGCCAGGCTTGAGTGCAGTGGTGCGATCATGGCTGGCTTACTGTGGCCTCAAACTCCTAGACTCAAGTGATCCTCCTGCCTCAGCCTTCTGGGTAACTGGAACCACAGGCACGCACCACCATGCCAGCTAATTTTTATATTTTTTGTAGACATGGGAGTCTCACTATCATCCCAGGCTGGTCTTGAACTCCTGATCTCAAGTGATCCTCCTGCCTTGGCCTTCCAGAGTGCTGGAATTACACTGATGAGCCCTGCACTCTGCCCAGATTTAACTTTTTCTAAAGCTTTTATTTAAAATAAAGTCACTGTGGTTAAGATGCCTCTGACAGTTTTGTATTTTAAGTGTGAAGACTCTGTTGAATGAATTTTTCCATAAGTTGTAAAATGTGCATCCATGTTTATTTCATTCTTATGGTTTCCAATTAATTGTCCCTTCTTCCTTTTTAGAAACGCACGGGCTAGTGGGCTCCATGTCCCTTTGCATTTTCAGAAGTATGGCGCGGAACACTCCGCCCTCCGACTTTAAGTGGTGCAGCTGGACGGCCTCCAGAGGGCGTGCGTCTTCCTCCAGCAATCTATAGGAGGGCGATTAAGGTGGCGAGGGGTCAGCCAGCTTTTTCTTCTATTGAAATGCAGTGTGGAAGTCAAGGGGGAGGTGTTTTAGATGCTTGAGTCTTCTTCCTCACCAGGTCACCTCATCCCTGCACACAGCCACTCTCCCGCATGGGCTACTTTCCAGTCTCACAATCTCTCTGAGTAACTGTGGAAGGAAGACAGCTACGGAGCCTCTCCCTTGTCCAAATCACTCTGCTGATAGACCTGCATAACTCGTCTCACTGAACCCTGGACCACCCTGGGAAGAACACCTCTGCCCCTGTATTTCAGACAAAGACTATGAGGCAGTCGGGCACGGTGGTTCACACCTATAATCCCAGCACTCTGGGAGACTTAGGCAGGTGGATCATGAGGTCAGGAGTTCAAGACCAGCCTGGCCAACATGGTGAAACCCCGTCTCTCCTAAAAACACAAAAATTAGCCGGGCGTGGTGGCGGACACCTAAAATCCCAGCTATTTGGAAGGCTGAGGAAGAGAATTGCTTGAACCTGGTGTCAGGTCTCCATATGCAAGCCTTGAGCCTGAAAGTCTGAAGTACTGCTTGCCTCCTGATCACCTTCCACCTCCCACTTGCATTCACCATTGCCCCTGATTGCCCAGCCCAGCGGAGCTTCCCCGCACAAGCCCCTCACCCAACCCTGCCATCTTAACTGTTCTTATGGTAACGTGTATACCGCTCATCCATCCTGTCATCTTAAGCGCTCTTCTGCCTCACCCCCAGCTGCCATTGTAACTAAACTTATGGTAATGTATACTCCTTGCCCCTACCCTTACCACTGTTACTGATGTTACTCTCTGTAACTTTCCACTGCCCACCCCAAACCGATAAAACCAACTCCTATCCCACTGCCCTTTGCTAACGCCCTTTTCAGTCTTAGCTGACCTGCACCCAGGAGAATAAAGAGCCATGTTGCTCACACAAAGCCTGTTTGGGGGGTCTCTTCATTCAAAGCATGCATTTTTAACACCTGGTAGGTGGAAGTTGCAGTGGGCCAAGATCGCACCACTGCACTCTAGCCTCGGCAACAGAGAGACTCCGTCTCAAAAATAAAAATAAAAAACAGTAAAAAATTAAAAAAGAAATAAAAATAACAATAAAAGAAAAAGAAAAAATAATTAAAAAAAAAACAAAGACTATGAGGCTAGCAGAGGCTGTGACCAAGCACATGACCCAAGCCCTGTGGACAGTAGCTGGATTGGAACAACGTTCTCACGTTCACAGGGTGTGATGAGGGCCTCCTCATTACAAGATCCAAAGTGGGACTGGCACTTCCATTAACATGTACATATATTTGTCTGTGAATCTATGTATGAGCATTTTCATGCATCAAATTTTGCCAGGAGTCTTACATATTTTTTATCATACTCACAAAATTCTGTGTTCTTCAGTATAAATACTTGACTTTTTATAGTTGAAAGTTGGGGATGCAAGTGAGTTCCCACACAGCCAGCAGCTAAAATATTCCAAATGTGGTTTTCACCGTGTGTTGGGATTTACTCCGGGTGGCTGGCAAATTATTAGGGAAATATTAGGGAAAGTTAGAAGATTATAGTCTCTAACCCAGAAATATATAAAATTAGCCATAAAAATTTGAAAAAGTCCAGTTTCTTTGTGAGATAACACTATAAAACATGTTATTTTTCATCAAAATTTGAAATAAGTGGGGAACCTCTGCAGCTCAGCCACTGGCTGATGCACTGTCACAAAGCTGCACTCCAACCTTCTCACTTCTGTGTCCTAATTTCTTCCCAGGTACTCCTGCTGAATTTGAGCCTCAACAAAACTCAAGGAAGTGCCAATTAAAACACTGAAGTATCTTTGCCTGCCTAGTTTGCAAGATTAAAAGGACAGATAAAGTTTACTGTTGGTGAAAGCTACAGGCACTCTTTTGCTAACCCTAAACCCTGACAGACCCTGACCTCATGCCACTCTTCCCCACAATCCTGCAGATATGTCTCATCTCTGCTAAATTTTATCCTCCAAACTTCTAACCCTTAATACTGTAAATACAAAATAAACCAATAGGCAATCCCATCCCAATTTAATGCTAAATTACACTAGGAAATGAAGTCACAAAAACAGAAAGGCATAGATCGATGTCTAGCATAATTAAACAATTAATAATGCTCAACAAAATAGTCATAATTTGATACTAAGACATACTTGAAGGATTACAGATCATGATCACTACATCCTTTTCTCAGAAAATCAAGTTGGTTTTGCATACTAGAGCCATCCCTGCAAATAAACATCAAATAAGCAGAATGAAGAAACCCAGATACTCATCTCCATAGATGCAGGAAGTACTTTCCACAAAGTCAACACCATTTCATCATAAAAACACCCAACAAACTAGAGATAGGAAATTTTGTTAACACAGCAATCAGCCTCTACGCCAAACCCATAACTAGAACCATTTCCATTGTTAGGGCCATATATGACAAAAACACAGCTAACATCATAAACAATGGGGAAAAGTTTAAAAGCTCTTCCTCTAAGATCTGGAACAAGTGTGGCCACTTTTACCACTTTTTTCATCATAGTACTGGAAGAGCAATTAGACAGGAGAATCCAATAAAAGGCACCCAAATTGGAAAAAAGGAAGTCAAATTGTCTCTCTTTGCAGGTGAAATGATCACATACATATAGAGAGAAAACCCTAAGGATTCTACAAAAAAGCCTATTAGAAATAATAAATAAATTTGCTAAAGTTGAAAGACACAATATCAGTATACAAAAATGAGTAGCACAGCCATGCGCCAGTAGTGAAACACCTAAGAAAGAAATTAAGAAGCCTACTTCATTACAGTAGCTACTATCTACCTCCACCAAAAAATGATACCTAGAGATGAACTTAACCAAAAAGGTGAAAGATTCCACAATGAAAACAATAAAACATAGATAAAAGCTGTTAAAGCAGACACATGTAAATGGAAACATATCCCATGTCCAAGCACTAGAAGAATATTGTTAAAATAGCCATATCACCCAGTGGGATCTACAGAATGAGCACAATCCATCAAATTACAAAAGACATTCTTCATAGAAATAGAAAAAAAAATCCTAAAATTTACATAGACTTGCAAAATACCTCAGACAAAAGAATCTTGCATAAAAAGCTGGAAGCATCACACTACCTAATTTGAAAATACACTACAAACCTATAGTAACCAAAATGGCATGGAACTGGCACAAAAAAGGGGCAAGGGAGAGACAGAGATAGACAGAGATAGATGAATGACAGACAGACATAGATAAATGAAACAGAATAGAAAACTCAGAAATAAATTCACGCATTTACCATCTACTCATTTTTATCAAAGGCACCAAGAAGACACCTTTGGGAAGGACAGTATCTTCAATAAACTGCTAGGAAAACACAACACCCACATGTACAAGAATAAACCTAGACCATTATCTTACCATATACAAAAATCTACTCAAAATAAAGATTTAAATGTAGAACCTGAAACTACGAAACTTTCAGAGAAGAAAAAAATAGGATAAATGTTTCATGAAATTGGTTAGGACAATGGATTTTCAAATAGACATCAGAAGCACAAGCAACAAAAGCAAAAACAGACAAATGCAATTACATTAAATGTAAAAGCTTCTGCAAAGTGGAGGAAGCAATCAGTAGCATAAAGAAACAATCCAGAAAATGGAAGAAAGTATTTGCAAACTATGCATGAGGCAAGGGGTTAATACACAAAACATATAACAAACTCAAACTACTCAAAAGCAAAAATATAAATAGTCTGATTTAAAAATCAAAACAGGCCAGGCGTGGTGGCTCAAGCCTTTAATCCCAGCACTTTGGGAGGCTGAGGCGGGTGGATCATGAGGTCAAGAGATCAAGACCATCCTGGTCAACAAGATGAAACCCCGTCTCTACTAAAAATACAAAAATTAGCTGGGCATGGTGGTGCATGCCTGTAGTCCCAGCTACTTGGGAGGCTGAGGCAGGAGAATTGCTTGAACCCAGGGGTCAGAGGTTTCGGTGAGCCGAGATCGCACCATTGCACTCCAGCCTAGGTAACAACAGTGAGACTCTGTCTCAAAAATAAAATAAAATAAAATAAAATAAAAATCAGAAAAAGATATACTCAAAACCTTTGCTCCCCACAATGATTTCCCCATCTTTTCCCAGCCGTCTTTGGTCTGTCTCTCTCGCCACCCTTTTTCTTCCTCCATCTACCCCAAAACTTTTTCACCATTTTTCCCCACTGTCATTTTGAAAAGCTTTCTCTATTCTTTTACTCATGACTCTTCTTTCCCCTATCCTGCTTGCCACCCTTTTTGTCCTCCAGATACCCCAAACTATTTTCCCCATTGTCTTTTCCCCAACCCTCTTTCCCCACTCCCACTCACCACCCTTATCCTTCTCCTGCTTGCCTCCCTCTTTCCTCTCTCCATCTACTTAAAAACTTTCCTCCTCATCTTTTTGCAAAACCTTCTCTCCCTCCTGCTCACCATTCTCTTCCCCCTCTCTGCACCCCTTTTTCTCCTCCCACTTGCCAGAGAGTGAGACTCCATTTCGAAAAAAAAAGGAGAGACTGCTAAATGTGCCTAGTTATCTTCATAAGTCATCTATGTTCTGTTTTCTACATAGCTTGAAAGGCAGTCCCAAATGATGCGTAATTATCTAGGTTGTATAAATAAAACATACTTCATTGCTTCTCTGAAGGATAGTTCCAACACATTCTCTGGAGCTTTCTCTGCATCCTGAGAAGCAGTGCAGCTCTGCCCTTCACCTTCCTGCAGTTTTTCTCCTCTTTCCTATGATCTTAGAGGAACTTTGTCTCAGGCCAACTGTTTGTTCCTTGGGCTCTTTCATTTCCCCTAAAAATCACTTACTCCGCCTCTAAGTTGCCTCCATCTCCATCCATCTCCCTCTCTCCTGAAAAGACAGCACTCTTTAAGCATCAACCATCTGACCCTTCTTGCAGTCTCATTTTTTGGCTGGCTTCCATGTTTATGCCTGTTCTATGTTTTTCTTCTCCTGTTAAGCTGTCTGTTGTTAGTTCATTTCTGCAGTGAACCTTTAGAGAGGAAAGTGAAAGCTTTCCTTCCAGACATACAATAGAATTATAAAGCAGAAAAGTTTAGACAGAATTTCGTATTTAAGTGCCAAAACTTCATACTCCATTTCTGATAAAGCACACAAAGGTTAAAAAACAACAACAACTTATTTTTGACCCAAAGCTCTGTTGACATTCTATTAAACACCAACCTATTTAATTTTCATAGTGTAAATGGCAGATATTTTTATAATTATTATGCTAATAAATCATTTCCCTGATGTTTTTGGTAAAACCCGATATTCAAGGCCGGGTGCGGTGACTCACTCCTGTAATCCCAGCACTTTGGGAGGCTGAGGAGGGTGGATCACGAGGTCAAGAGATTGAGACCATCCTGGTCAACATGGTGAAACCTCGTCTCTACTAAAAATACAAAAAATTAGCTGGACATGGTGGTGTGTGCCTATAATCCCAGCTACTCAGGAGGCTGAGGCAGGAGAATTGCCTGAACCCAGGAGGCGGAGGTTGCGGTGAGCCGGGATCGCGCCATTGCACTCCAGCCTGGGTAACAAGAGCGAAACTCCATCTCAAAAAAAAAAACAAAAACAAACAAACAAACAAACCCAATATTCATAATAAAGTCCAGAACCATGAATTGTTTTAAATAATTTCTTCTTATGTGTGATTACAAGTATACCTCTACAGGAAGTTAGTATACTCTCACAAAAGCTAATTTTTCAGAGGAAAAGGCCAATTGTAGAAAATCCCAGAAACACAAGTGATAAACGTTCACAGAATGCCAAGAAAGTCATGACCAGGATACCAATAATCAGGTGGAAAACTGATCGTCTGGAATAACAATAGTTGAAATAATGAAAAGATCAATGACATTTACAATATTTCAGTAAAAAACGATAATCTTCAGAAACCATCAACCTCCTCCAAGGGGTAACCGCACCTTTCAGATATCACCAGGGGATTCCACTGCTTCAAAAAAGATAGGAAGTTACCAGTCTCATGTTTTCTGCATGGCTGATAGTGTTTTTAGCCATTCCAAATGTAGAGTGCCTTTTTTTTTTTTAATGTAAAGCAGGGATATCCAATTTTTTGGCTTCTCTGGGCAATATTAAAAGAAGGAAACCTGTCTTAGGCCACATATAAAATACATTAACACAACAATAGCTGATTATCTAAAAAATATCACAAAAACACCAGGTGCTGGAGCTCACGCCTGCAATCCCAGCACTTTGGGAGGCTGAGGCTAGCGTATCACCTGAGGTCAAGAGTCCCAGGCCGGGCGCGGTGGCTCAAGCCTGTAATCCCAGCACTTTGGGAGGCCGAGGCTGGTGGATCACAAGGTCAAGAGATCGAGACCATCCTGGTCAACACGGTGAAATCCCGTCTCTACTAAGAATGCAAAAAATTAGCTGGGCATGGTGGCGCGTGCCTGTAATCCCAGCTACTCAGGAGGCTGAGGCAGGAGAATTGCCTGAACCCAGGAGGCAGAGGTTGCGGTGAGCCGAGATCGAGCCATTGCACTCCAGCCTGGGTAACAAGAGCGAAACTCCGTCTCAAAAAAAAAAAAAAAAAAAAAAAGAGTCTCAGACCAGCCTGGCCAACATGGTGAAACCTCATCTCTACCAAAAATACAAAAATTAGTCAGGTGTGGTGGCAGGTGCCTAGAATCCCAGCTACTCAGGAGGCTGAGGCAGAAGAATAATTTGAATGAGGGAGGCGGGGGTTGCAGTGAGCAGAGATCAGGTCATTGCCCTCCAGCCTGGGAGGCAAGAGGGAGACTTAGTCTCAAAAAAAAAAAAAAAAAAAAATCGCGAAAAAATTCTTTTTTTTTTTTTTGAGACAGTCTTCTGCTCCGTAGCCCAGGCTAGAGTGCAGTGGCGCGATCTTGGCTCACTGCAACCTCCGCCACCTGCGTTCAAGCCATTCTCCTGCCTCAGCCTCCTGAGTAGCTGGTATTACAGGTGCCTGCCACCATGCCTGGCTATTTTGTATGTTTTTAGTAGAGACAGGGTTTTACCATGTTGGTCAGGCTGGTCTGGAACTCCTGACCTCAACCAATCTGTTGACCTCAGCCTCCCAATTACAGGCGTGATCCACCACACCTGGCCTGTCATTTCTTTATATTTGGATAACATAAGGACTTTAAGACCCTTTCTCCTTTGGGTCAATCAATCATCTGCACCATACACATTTTACAAAACAAAGGACAATACAGTCCTGATTTACATCTTGGTCATGTCACTCCTAGTGACTCCCATATTGCAAGCCTCCCAGCAGGTGCAGCCCTTTCCTCTCCATCTGATGGGCTTCTCAGCTCCCATCACACTAACTGGACACAGACTCCCTAGAGGCAACCCTCAAGAGCAGAAGACATGGTTGACTCAGAAGTTTCTAAAAAGTCATCAAACCAGATGACACAAAACTCATATGACATTTCACTTTGTTTTGGTTTATTCTGTTTGAGACAAGGGTGTAGTGGGCATCCGACTAATTTTTTTGGAATTTTTTGTAGAGATGGGGTTTGGCTCTGATGTCCAGGCTAGTCTTAAACTCCTGGACTCAGGTGATCTTCCCACCTTAACGCCCCAAAGCCCTTAAATTACAGGCCTGCACTGTGTAAATTGCCATGCAACACAGCCCAGTAACAAGGAAGAAACCTCACGGGTCCAGCATCTACTCACATGGGTGGATTGATGGCTGGGAAACCCCAGCAGGAGGAGCCAAAAGAGCAGCCATGGCACACCCGCAACTCCTGGTCCTCTCAGGGCACCCTCAGGTGGTCAGGACAGAGGTGGGGGTGGCTTAGGGCTGGGGGAGGGAGGGGATAGGGATGGGGTGGGATCTGAGTTGGGGAGGTGGACAGGAGGGAAGGGGAGGGAGGGGAAGCGGGGATGTTGGGCACCTTGAGGAGGGGATCTGGGAAAGGATCTGGTTCAAACTTAGTCTCCAAAGGTGAGTGGGAGGTTCAGCTACAAGTCAGGGGAGAAAGTCTATTAGGGAAGCAACAGGACACACAGGGCAAGAAAGCGAGAGGCTCAGGAGCAATTAGATGGAGACCAGGGCTCTGGTTTCCACCACACCTTCTCCCGTTTGGGCGCTGCCTAAGCAACCCTCAGGGTTTATATTCCCTCCCCACCAATCCCCGGCCTCGGAACGTGGTACCTCACAGTGGACATTCCACGGAGCACCCTGTCCTCCAATGCCCCTCCCCCATCTCAGCCCCCCACACACTTCTCAAGGATCTCTGGAACTTTCACAGACTTGATTTCTGATCTTCCTCACCAGCTTCTGGCAGCTCCTTCCTTCTTGAGCTCCCAGGGTTTCTCATGGTCAGTCTTGGCTGCAAAACATAGAAACAAATGATGGCAGGATGGCAGGAAGAACCTCACACACAAACAGAGTGGGAGCTCTGTTGAGAACTGAACGTGAGCCTGGGAATCTCGTCCAGCAAGAGGGTCCCAAACCTGGAAGAGAGCGCGCACCGGAAAAAAGGAGATAGAAAAGGCAGGTCTGGAGGGCTACATGCGCTATGCTCATGCAGCAATTTTATTTTTGCAATGTGTTTCATTATATACTTTACTGAAGTTAAAGTTGTTTACGCCAGATTAACGTACTTAAGTTACAGTAAGCAAGTTACACCCAGTAAGTAAGTTAAGCCCAGTAAGTAGGCTACACCCAGTAAGTAGGTTACGCCCAATAGGTCAAGGTAAGTAGGTTACAGTCACGCCCTGTAAGCTATGGTAAATAAGTTACAGTTACACCCTGTAAGTTACGGTAAGTTACCAAGTGTAAATATTTAAGTTAATTTTACAATGAAGGTAACACGGGTACAAAATGAACACAATCAAGCAATAAACCATAAGGAGCCAAAAGTAGACACAATGCCTCCCAAGTCCTCGTATCCATAAAGTAATGTCTGTTAATTATTTTGGATAACATATAGTTCCTGTCTCGGTTCCTATTTTCCCTTAGCTCGACTCCCCCAACCAGGGATCTGTGTCCGGGCTCAAGCTCACCGTATGGCGAGGCCCATTTCCCAGGGGCCTCACGCGGGAGCGATCCCCACAGATCCCTCAGAGCTCCACAATCCCCTCTCAGCCATTCATATTCTAAGCAAAAAAACATCAGAAGGATGTGGAAAGTCCCAATAGTAAACCATGTCCAGCACATCCATGGAGCCATCTGTCCATCATCCTGTATCTTGGGAACAAATGTTGGAGCTACACTGGTTTTAAGCATGCATGGTCCATTTACAAAAATTAACCTGACTTGTTTTGTTCTTCAAGCAAATCTCAATATATTTTAGACAAATCCAATCACACAGCAGTTTTCTGATCACAGAATTGTGCTAGAAGTCAATGATTAAAAGCTAAACAAAAATTATTATATGCTTGGAAATTCAAAGTGCCCTTAAGATATCAACAGAAGAAAGAATCCAAAGTGAAACAAGACTGCCTTTACCCTCAGTGAGAAGATCATAACATGGCAATTGAATGTCTCCCTCTGGCCCAGGAATTCCGCTGTGTGGCATAAGGTTGTGTGGTCTCACATCACCCCTAACCCCCCAAGACATGTTCACATCTGAAACAGGGTGATGGTATCACTTATCTATATTATTTTACTGTCCGTGAAGGTGGACTTTTGAATTTGAACCCTAATAAGGGGGAGAAAACCAAGTTGATTCTCATGGTTGAGCTCCCAAGGATGTCCAAGGAATCTGTGCATTTCAAGAGACGAAGTTCATCAGCCTCTCTCCTGGGGTATTTGGCCACAATACCCAGAGGGTTTGGCAGCATCACAAGTGATGGCTAGGGAGTGCCAAGCTGGTGGGCAGGACCCAAGGGTCTGGTGACCAGGTCAGACCCACACTGTCCATTATCTTTCCTGGACCCATCCTCAGCTAAACCTCCCAAAGGCCTGCTTCTGCCTGATCACAGAGTGTGCTCAAACATATTCATGCCTCTCGCAGCTGAAAACCACTGCTTTAAATCTCCTTACAATTTACTATGACATAAAGTTATTGTAAACTGCAAATATTCTATTTATGCTACAAATGGAAAGCCAATGCCTTTACCATAAATAGAAAAACAACCCTGAGACACAAGGAAAACAAAAACAAAACAGGGACAACACAACTATGGCATTCAATTCTATTCATATGCTGTCAACTGCATAAAGAGCTCCAGATTTGGGTTGTCTTGGTTGTAAAGGGAGAGACCAAGTAAGTGAGTGTTGAAGTCAGATTAGCCCAAAAGTGAATGGCAGGGAGTAGTACCATCATGTCCATGAAGGGTTGCTGGGGTCACCTTGATTATAGCCCAAGCAGAGACAGGGCAAGGAAGAAGATGTGAGCAGAGTTTGGGGTCTTCAATGGGGAGGTGATTCATGCAGCCCAGGAAGGGCTCCTCAAAGCCCGGGTCAACCTCCCTTGCAGGCAGTTCCCTCATGGAGGCAGGGCCAGCACCTTAGATTTGAGACCAGCTGTGCTAATGACCAGCTGTGTGACCCTGGGCTGGTTTCTTTCCACACGATGTGAGTGTCAATGGCTGTGTCAAAGACTGTCTGAGGATAGGAGGAAGCAACCTGTTGAGCACCTGTGTATCGAATGTCATCACCTCCCAAGGACATCTTTCCTTCCAGAGCTGGCACCTTGGAAGATCCTTGGCCACTAAAGACAGTAATGGTGCTAACAGCAGCAAATCATCATTTATGGCTGTTGGGGAGGGCCAGCGGGTAGGGCCCTAGGTCCTTGATAAGAATGAGGGTCTGGTGACTCCTGGGGACAGCTGAGTGAGTCCTGTAGGACTCCTGGGTCCCCAGGGGCCAGGTCTGTCTTCAGTGGCATTGGGCCTAGGCTGGGATGCTGAGGGAGCTACTGGAGTATCAGTAGTACAAACAGGCACAGAGGCTGTGGATCCATCAGAGGTGGCAGGTGTAGGATCATCTGTCCACCAAGTAAAGTCACCAAGCCTGGCCGACCACTGTCCCCCACAGATGATGCCCTGTCCCTTGCCTCACACTTTGATAGGGCAGTGGCTGACACCTGGGGCCTCATGGGGCATCACTGTAAGATATCTGAGTCCTGATCATTGAATGGGCACTTGAGTCACCCAGGGCCGTTGGAACAAGGAGGAAGAATCAGGCCCCATGATGTTTTGGGACAATGTTTAGCACAGGAAAATGCACAGAATGCATGCACAACACAAGGGAACTGTTGGTGTGGGAGCCAATATTTTATGACCTCCAGCCCTAATCTGAGCACTCTCACCTGTGCAATCTGAAAGAAACAGGAGACTTGCAGGAAAGATAGTGCCTGGATTTTACTTAAAGGAACTAAAATGTTGAATGTTCACACTCCTGATATCCTTCCAAATCAACTCTCTCAATGCTGCCATCTTCACCACTCTCATATGGGGTAACTGAGGCAGTCAGAGCTTTACTGACTCAGTGCCTCGCAGTTGACTTCCGAGTTCACTGCTGACCACATCTGAACAAACTGCTTTTTCTGAAGTTTACCCTGTTTGATCATGCTGCTGATGATTTTGTGCAGCTCTGGGAAAACTCTACCTGGCAAAGGATAAAGCAAATGCACAGTGACTCAGCCCTGCTGTCATTTCCCATCAATTCCCTGCTCTCCTCCTCTGTCACTCCACAGTCTCCCACATACAGCTGACACTGTATGGTGGCCTTAATGGAGTCCACAGAGTATTTCAGGTTCTCCTCTAGGCCCCCTGAAGGTAGAGGTAGTTATGGGATTTGATTTGACTCAGGAGATGTGAGTGGAAGTGAAGTGTGTCACCTAGAGGCAAAAGAGTTAGGAGCCATTGAGACTGGCCACCCTTTCCTTCATCTCTTAGAACCACCGAGGTCCCATATGGAGGCTGCTCCTTTATTCTGGTGGCAGATGAGGTGATGTGGAGCACAGGGCCCAGGAGAGCCATGGAGGATGTGCAGCATGAGCAGACAAAGAGCCTTCAGTGTTGTACATTTCCATTGTTTGGGGCTGTTTATTACCTACAGTGATACCTAGTCCATCCTGGCAGGCACGCACCATCTTATTCCATGCTCTGTGAAGCAGTCTAGCCTACTGTTTTAGAACGTGAACTGGTTGTCAGGCACACGTAGGCTTCAGTTCCAGCTCTGCCTCTTATTAACTGCAACCTCAGGCATTTAACTTTCAGTCTCTGAGCCTCAGTTCTAACTCTCTAAAGTGGGTTGGCTATAGTATCTCAGGTTGTGGAGAGAATTAAATGAAATAAAAACGCATGTAGAGCATTGAGCCCAGGGCCTGGCACACACAGTGAGTACTCAACATTAGCCATGTAGCTTCAGAATGCATATTGATTGTCAATACCCAGACAACACAGCAAAGTATTACAGAAAGAGAAATGTAAACTTATTTGCATATGTATTCTTTCAATCTTCATTTTTAAACAGATAGGATAAAACTATGGGTCAGGCACAGTGGTTCATGCCTGCAGTCCCAGCACTTTGGGAGGCCATGGTGGGTGGATCATGAGGTCAGGAGTTCAAGATCAGTCTGGCCAAAAAATACAAAAGTTAGCCAGGTGTGGTAGTGTGCACCTGTAATGCCAACTACTCAGGAGGCTGAGGCAGGAGAATCACTTCAACCCAGGGAGGCAAAGGTGGCAGTGAGCTGAGATCATAACACTGCACTTCAGCCTGAGCGACAGAGTGAGACTGTCTCAAAAAATAATAAACCATGTATATTCTTTCATAGCCAGTGTTTTTCTCTCAAATATTATATCCTTAAAATATTTTTAGCTCAAAAACAAAAAATCATTTTTGAGATTATCATTTTAAATGAAAAGATAATGCTCAATTTAATGAGTAATTTAATTACTACTATTGGACTTTTTGTATATTGCAAGGAGCATTCAAAACAAATGAAGTAGAATAAAAAATATGTATTACATATTGTAAATATGACTTTGCTAAGTCTTTTATTCAGAAATATAGAACATATATATGTAATATAGAATTTATTTATTATGAGTCGTGTTAAAAAATAGTTTAGAAGCTAATGATTTGTTTCCTTTTCAAATTTTGCAGGATAATTTGTTTGTTTTGACAGAGTCTTGCTCTGTGCCCAAGTTGGAGTGCAGTGGCACAATCTCAGCTCATTGCAACCTCCGCCTCCTTGGTCCAAGCAATTTTCCTGTCTCTGCATCCTGACTAGCTGAGACTACAGGTGTGTAGCACCATGCCTGGCTAATTTCTGTATTTTTAGTAGAGACAAGGTTTTGCCATACTGGTCAGGCTGGTCTTGAACTCCTAACCTCAGGTGATCCACCCACCTCTGCCTCCCAACGTGCTGGGATTACAGGCATCAGCCACCACACCCAGCCGAAATTTTGCAGGATAATAACCTTTAGGCCAAGTGCAGTGGCTCACCCTTGTAATCCCAGACCTTTGGGAGGATGAGGCGCGAGGATTGTCTGAGGACAGGAGTTCAATACTGGCTTGGCTAACATGGCAAAACCCCATCTCTACTAAAAATACAAAAATTAGCCAGGTGTGGTGGCACATGCTTATAGTTCTAGCTACCCGGGAGGCTGAGACAGGAAAATTGCTTCGACTCAGGAGGCAGAGGTTGCAGTGATCCAAGATTGTACCATTGCACTTTAGTCTCGGCAAAAGAGCAGGACTCTGTCTCAAATAAATAAATAACTTTTTTAAGTATTGTTGGGCACTTGTCTGGTTGTTTTTCTTTAGGTTAACTTGCCAGCAGTGATTCTTTTTGAGTTTCTGACACAAGATAGCAGTCTTTAATCCAAATGTCAACTACTATGCCCCACCCATGAGACACTGGTATGGAAGAAAAAAGGAGGAAAAAGCCACTATTGTGACTGCCTATGCCTCCCCCAGCATGGCCCCCTGTGAGATGTGGGGCAGCTGAGACCAGGAACTGTTCAAGGGCGCCAGGCCCCGTATGTCTGCACTCACTCACCTTCCTTAGGTACTCGCATGGGGGATGGCACTGACTTTACATGCTGCTGCAGCTCCTTGGTGTGCTGGTCCTGGTTATGGGACAGGAACTGTGGAGTCAGGACTGTGGGTAGCCCCCCATATAGGCACCGAGGAATGAGAGCTAAGCAGAACCCTGGCACAATTAGGGCTTGAGGAATATCTCACTTTATAGTGTTACCACTCAGCTATTTCCTTTTATATACTCCTTTATATAATCACATATTAGTTTATAGAATTAGGGCTTGATGAATCCCTTTATATAATCCTCTATATATAATCACATAATAGTTAATAGTATGAGTGCCTAAAGAATATTTCCCTACATATATACCTGTAATTATATCTTAGTTCATATCAGAGGAATGCCTAGAGTGGACACAGTACAGAGCATGAATTAAGGAATAAGCAGCTTATAATCAGAGGAATGCCTAAGAGCAGACACCATGCAGAGCATGATTTAAGGGAAAAACAGTTATGCCAGGACAAGAATCCATGGCCCAGGTGGCAGTGTTCAGTATCGGAAAGATATCCGCTGTATGGCAGGCTTGGGGCGAGAGCCACTCCTCCTGATAAAGGAGTTGTAGGACCTTGCTCCAGTTCTTGTGGAAGGCTGCCCTCAGAACGGCAATCCCCCTTGGTGACTGTGAACTTTATCAGCTCTTGCTACTGTGCTGCTTGAAAAGCATCTTCCCATAGAACCCATTAGAAGCTGCCAGAAGGTGGCAGTAACCCTGACAGCTCTGTCACTGCGATGTGACTTAAAGCATCCTCCTATAAATCTTCTTAGAAGTAGTTTGACCATAGATAGAAGTATTGCACACTAGGCACGGCCCACCTTCAAACCTTGGTGACCTAATGGGGGTGGACCCCTTACTGCACAAGGCCCTTGCCTTCATGGGAATGGGCCCCTTGCTGTGCACAGTCCACCTCCTGGCCTAGGTGACCTAATGGGGGTAGACCCCATGTTTTATTGCTAACGACACGATCACTATCCTTAAAGATGATTTCACTCACTGCCCTGCTCCCTAACCTATACACAATAAATACTCATGCTTCTGGACATTCGAGGCCTAGCCTGACTGTGCTTATAGGTGGCGTGGCCCCCCCAAGCCCAGCTGCATTTTTCTTGTACTTCTGTGACCTGTCTCTTTATTTCTCGGATCCTGTGCCTCAGCACAGCATAAGGCTCACCCCATGACCCTGTGGGGCCATCAGCCCTACGTCTGGCTCCCAACATGCCCTACAAGGACAATAGAGGGCTTCGCCTCCTGCAGAATGGGAAGAGAAGCTCATGATGAGTGCCAATCTATTAGACAATTTTTAAAAAAATGTTTGTTGAATGAGTGGAAAAACAAGGTGATGCTTGAGTCTATAGTGGTCAGGAGCATGGGGGCCTCAGAAAAGGTCAGAACCAAGTTCAAATTCCTGTACTTTGAAGTTCTACCTCATGCCATGCAAAATCACTTTACCCCTCTTCACCTCAGTTTCCTTCTGTGTGAAATGGGAACAAAAAGTTTCATTCCTCTTTCAGTTTCTGCCAAGGATTCATGAGATAATACCTCTAAAACATCCAACTCATTTAAATGCATCATTATTTCTGTCATAACTAGTGGGATCAGTTTCACTGTTATTGCATATACAGTTCAGTGCCTGAAATCTACAAAAAAAAAAAAAAAAAGAAAAGAAAATCTTAACTCTAAAACGTGTCAGTGATTTGTCATTTTTATATTATTAATCATAACCATATTTAATCACACAAGGCCTTGTACATGGCAGCTGCTCAATAAACACTTGTGGAATCAATGCATGTGGGCTCTGCAGCCACATTGTTTAGGTCCTAATTGGCCTCCACCACTTATGAACTGAGTGACCTGGGCAAGATAATTCACCTCTTTATGTCTCCGTTTCCTTTGCTATAAAATATAGATAATAAGAATCCCTAGCTCCTTAGGTTGTTGCCAGGGGTGAATGATTTGGCACATAGTAGGGGCTTTTTAAACATTAGCTGTGGTGATCTCCTTCTGAATCGTCCTTTTCAGAGCCACAGATGAGGCCATAGTGCCACCTGGTGACCCTAGAGTGTAAGTACACATGATCGCCAATATACTCTCTCCATCACAGGTCCCAGACTGGCTAGTTACTGCCTGGAGGTTTCTGCTGCATCTGCCTTCTCAAGGCTCATGTAAAGACTTTTGTGTTTTCCTCCTCACATTCCTACAGATGGGGTTCAGGTTGCCTGACACAGCTGGGTGATCCACAGAGCAGTGACCGCCTATGCCAGCCCTGTGAGGTAGCCGGAGAATGTTCCTTCCTTCTCAAGCTCTGGGCAGATGCCAGGGCTGGGGTGATCCATGCCCTCAAGTTTCTTGATTTGGAGGGTCACATTTTCTGTTGGCAAGGGAAGCAAAGGTCAAAGGAAGCCAGAGACTTGGGACCTCTCTGTGCTATGAGCCCAAATAATAAAGACCTGAACATTCTATGCTAAAAGCCCAAGGCTCAGGTGCTCCCCAGGGCTTCTTGCCTCATGACCTCTACTGAGGGAGGATGAATACTATGTCCTCCCAGAGCTTTGGGAGGTTGTAGTGAGTAGCCTCCCCAGCACAAAATCTCTTGGAAACCTCAAACTGTGCATAAAACATTCATGCACATTTTGTATCCTATTTCCCACATGTAAGAATGTTTTAGAAAAAAAACCTCAATTTCCTAAATATGCAAGAGAAATGGATATTGTAGGACAGTGGCTTTTAAAAACATGTTATTTAGGCTGGGGATGGTGGCTCATGCCTGTGATCACAGCACTTTGGGAGGGTGAGGTGGGTGGATCACCTGAGGTCAGGACTTCGAGACCAGTCTGATCAACAAGGAGAAACCCTATGTCTACTAAAAATACAAAATTAGCCAGGTGTGGTGGAGCAGCTCTCTAATCCCAGCTACTTGGGAGGCTGAAGCAGGATAATCACTTAAACCTGGAAGGCGGAGGTTGTGGTGAGCCAAGATTGCACTATTGCATTCCAACCTGGGAAACAAGAGCAAAACTCTGTCTCAAAATATATATATATAGTTATTTAAAAATCTTCCCCACCCCCTTTCAGAACTCCAAAAATGCCAAATACTATTAAATGCCTACTATGGGCCAGGTGCAGTGGCTCACATTTGTAATCCCAATACTTTGGGATGCCAAGGTGGTAAATCACTTGAGGCAAGAGTCTGAGACCAGCCTGGCCAACATGGTAAAACCCCCTTACTACAAAAAGTACAAATATTAGCCAGGCATGGTAGTGCAAACCTGTAATCCCAGCTGCTAGGGAGGCTGAGGCAGGAGCCACTGCACTCCAGCCTGGGCAACAGAGCAAGACTCCATCTCTAAATAAATAAATTAATCAATCAAATAAATAAATAAATAAATGCCTACTATATGCCAGCCACGATTCATGATCTTGGGCTGTAGCAAAGAACAAACTGACAGGGTTCCTCTCTCCTGTAACTTATATTCTTATATGATAATGATAAGGGTTAACATTAATTAAGCTGTTACTACTTGTTAGTCACAGAGCAAAGTCTTTCCCACCTATTATTACACTTAAACCTGCTAGCAAGCTTACAAAGGACATAGTTATTTTTCCCTGAAAAACTGAGTCTTGGACAGGCATGGTGGCTCACCCTTGTAATCCCAGCACTTTGGGGGGCCGAGGAAGGTGGATCACCTGAGGTCAGGAGTTCGAGACCAGCCTGGCC